TAATAATGATCTCAAAACGTTTGTACAAAAACATTATTTATACATTGTCCATGGAATGTTTTCTCCTGAAACATTTTAGCTGGATGTTCGTTTTTTAACTACTTACTATTAGTTTCAGAATGTTCAGAGAACATTCAAAAGTAACATTCCCATGATGTTTGCATAATGATACAATGGAATGTTTGCAAGAAGCAGCATTTCTGAAACAATTAAAAAACTGGACATTTTGAACATTCAGAGAACATTTAAAAAACAAACGATTTTATTACTTAAAAGGAACATTAAAAAGTTCTTAGAACATATTTTTGTTCCATATTTTGTTCGCAGCCATGTTAGTGAAAATTCAGCTAAATTTAACAGACAAAGTCCATTGTCAATAGAGCAGTGCTATGAAACACCGCTCACCCAGAAGGCACTTTCAAACCAAGCAGCTTTCTGTTGTTTTGGAAATCTGCATTTGGAACTTTTTTGCCTGCATGCGAACTCTCGATACACATTCCTATTGAAATGAATAGATTTGGGTAGGTGATAGCATGTGGGCAAGTGATTGAACCAAGCAGGTTTATATTGGTAAATCCGGCAAATTCAAGACAAAAATAAAAATAAAAATAAATGCTCAAAGTGATTTTTTTCACGATTTTCTGCCGCAATTCACCGTACAAAGGTGGGCCATAAATGTGACCAAACCATAACCACCCCAAAGAAACGACATAAAACACCACCCACAGCAAACAAGCATCATTGCCTTAGAATTTAGATTAGAATCAAAAGTCTTAGGAGACCTACCATTCAGAACAACCTGGAAATGCTGAAATGCTGTCACACTATGAGGTTTGGAGCACAGCATATATATAATGAGGCCTGGGTGTATGTCACATCATACTAGGCCCTTGAGATCACCTTGTGCATGCCTGGGGGAAACAGTTCCAGCTAAAGATGAACATGCTGTATTTATGATAGGAACACGTTTCTATAAGCACTATAGGTGTATCTCATCGCACAGTGCTAGTGGTACTCTGTTGTGGCACTTGTCGTCTTGACCTCAAGCTACTGTATAAGCATTTAATGACTGTGGTGGCCTGCTATTAGATTTATGGGATTAGAATTGTTCAAGCGGGAGAAAAGAAGCAAATTATGAAATTTGCTGCTTTTTAACTCGCTTCAAGCATATTGTTTCTTATGGCTTGCTTGGAAGATGAGATGGTTTGACAGCTCAAATTCCTTTTTGATAAAAATAATTAACTTATTTCCATAATTTCTAGTGAGGAACAGATGAATCTACCTTTGTGTTCGACAAGGTTTTATATATATATACAGTTTATCGTGATATCAATTTAATTTTGACTGGAGGGGTTTGTGTTTTGAGAAAGATTCATGTAAATTAGGGTGGAGAACTGTGAATAATTTGTTTCACCTTTATTATACCAGCAGTAATAGGGCCTCGAAACATAAAGATTATCATCTAGCATTAGAGGTAATGCGTGGGCAAACAAGACGATATTTCGACAATTAGGAGGCTTGCGGAGCAAATCCGACTTGGATTTTTTTCATTTCTCTTGTGGAATCATTTGTAGCGTGGGAGAACTTGGGAGAGGAAGATTATTGTGTCAAATTGTCTAATAACAACATGCGGCTTAGAGCAAATCTCTTAGCATCGATAATTAAAACAAGAAAAGCGATCTATCATCTTTATTAAATGTGTGGTGCGTGAATTCAGTTGAGTAGGCTATCATAATATTGACATTTTACAATCTATTTCTATGTAGCCTACGTCAGCATGATTCTAAAGAATCTTCTGCTACAAGATTTCAAGAGTAAAAATGCTATTTTTCATTTTTCTTTTAATAATAGCATAGCTCAGAACAAAGACTGACCTGCCTTTCCTTTGTTGAATCAAACTGAATTCAATCAACATAGATCAAAGACCGTGCAATTCGACTCAAAAGAAGACTCCACTTTTCTTGAGCTTCTCATTTTCAAGACCCCAATCATGTCTGTAGTCTATTAGTAGATGTTTGAATTTGTTCACCATCAATATATTAGGCCATATTATTAGATTATACTATTACTCCAGTGTTAGCCCATATATTACATAAATATATCATTAGTTACATTTGATGTGGAAACACTTTTACTTCACATATTAGACTGAGCTGCCATCTGCTGGACTGATATCACCTTCACATGAGGAAAAAAAGCATACGTTTTCAACTTTAAAGATGCTAATAATTTACTTGATTATAAAAGTTAGAGCTCATTTCTGAAATGTAGCATTCTCTCTCAGTTTTTGATGAGGGTTTAATTGCCGCTGAAATGTTTTTTTGAAATGAATGCTTTAGCTAATAAGCCCACTTGTCTCCAGGCCAGTAGATGGCAGTAATGTAGTTACATAGGTGCGAGTGTTACACAGTAGAATAATATCATGAACGAATCGTTTTTTTGAACTGGCTCTTTTCGATGTTTCATTTGAACCGATTCGCAAAGTGATGAGATCTGTGAGAGTACAACTGAGTTGGGGATGAACGGTTTGGAAAATGGCAGACGCAACATTTGACATGAAAATCGTTTAAAACACACGGAAAATGGGGGGGGGGGGGGGGG